CAGTCGACTAATTGGGAGCTTCCTTCGAAGTCGGAGTGCATCTGCATGAGAGGCAAGAAACCAACAGTCTGCATACAGATCTGTCAAACGGATGCATATGCAACACTCAGGTTCTGGAACAGGACTGCAGTCCAAAAGTAGACGAACAACCAGAACTTTCCGCTGGAGTTCACACCTGGTGAACGCGAAGAAGAAGATTACCATTACCTCTGTCTTATCAATGCTTATCCTCATGTTATATTTTTCACGCTTAGTATTGACTTAATACTTGGTCATCCGCAAATAACAGTTCTGAGATATCATTCTTTTGTTCGCTCTCTGTATATATTGTCGATGTATGTTATAAAAAGCAGTAGAGATAGCACGACGACTGTTTATAAAAACCAATGCAGGCGTGTGGCGTTATCGGAGGGAAAAGGTGTGGCCCTCTGAACGAAGCTTCAAATTGCGCTGGGTTTGGCTGGCAGGTAGGTTAGGTGAAGGAGATTAACAGCACTAGGCGCCCATAGAAGGAATATGGAGATATAAATACCTTATTAGGCTAGGTATGTGTGCAGGTGACAGACCCCAGTTGGTTGGTTCTCTACGCGGGCAGTTTGGCATTCGTGGTTGCCTGGCTGTTTGTGTTGATGAACGGATGTAACAACTACATCCGTGCCAGTTAAGACAATGAAGAATGCGCTCTAGCCAGACAATTGAAATATGTCTGAATAGAGGCAACATACAGGGGTTGAGTGGTCTCGAGGCATGGCCACCGCCTCGATTCCTAAAGGTCCTGGGTTCAGGCAACAGTAAAGGCTGCGATTTTTTTCATGGTGACTTCTAGTAATTTCCCTTGTCTCTGAGTAGTAAGATCAGACGCCCGTCTGTACTGTTGCGCATGTAAAAATCCCTTGACATTTGGAAATCGAAAAGGGTAGCCTAACAGCGCTGCCAGGGCAAAATGAAAAGGTAAAAATCTACCTAATGTATTTCAGGATCCACGCCAGTGCTACGGAGTTCGTACAGTGCGCTGAGATTCTTCGGACTCAGACTTGAGTTAGAAGTAGAACGGAACACTTAAAGGTTACTACCCCTGTGCTATGATGCTGATCCGTTGTATAAACCAAACCAAACCAAGCCAAACCAAACCAAACAAACCAAATCAAACCAGGCAGCAAAACAGACAATACGGGCGCTCCTAAATGTAATAAAAGGGGTCAAGAAATGTTAAAGGTCCATATTGTATATGTTTGGCTTTTTGCGTTTGACTAGGCAAATTTAAGGTTTAGTAATTTGCCATTGCTCACTTAACGGTCAGCTTTCGATACCATTGTGGAAACCAATTAATAGTCTGCTGCGAAACAGATTGCAGCTGGGATCGAACTCGGATCCTCGGCATTACGAAGCGCATTCACAACGCCTAGGCCACAGACGCTATACTGTGTATAAAATAACCAAACAGAAATATGGATATTTCGCTAGTACTGAAGGAGTTGATTACTGTGAATAGGGCAAAGGTTATGGGGGTCAACCTAACTCTCTTTTTCTCATGTTTTTTAGCGTTCACAGGTTGTAAACTCTGGTGGAAAGTCCTGGTGGTTCGTCCACTTATGAACTTCTGTCTTGTTGCGGAACTTCAATTTTGCGCAGATATAGAGACAGTCTGGTTTGCCGACTCTAGAACACACAACACATAAGTGTGTCTTTATATTAGTTAAATATGGTTATTTCTTTTTGAAAAAAATGAATAGCCGAGGAAGCGTTTTCTAAATATAAATAATTAAAAAACTATGGAAACTTCAAAATCATGTTTTAAGCTATCTCAGTTAACAGTGTCTGTCATCACCCCCCCCCCCTTTTCCCAGTCCACCGACTACTCATCTCTCTCATCACCTAATTAATTTTTTTGTATTGACTTGAGCATTCATGTCCACCCAGACAAACATGAATAGCTTGAATTGTAATGAGAAATAAAGTGTAATTATTTCCCATAGAATTTATTATCTTATACAGCTTCATGCAGATTTCTGAGGTCAACAGTCAAAGTTCGCCTATTACCAGTGAAGGGAACGCGCAACGAAAAAAATTGGATCGTCGGAAAATAAAATCAAGATGCCGATGTGTTCGTCGCTGGAGCTATGTAGTTCGTGCTTTGAGCGACACCCTTACATAAAAGCACTGATTTGGAGAGTGATCTCCGATGTGCCTTGCCCAACTTCAGATTTTTAAAAAAAAAGCTGATATCATCAAGACAAAACAGTGCCAATCATCATATAGATATTGGACACTAAATGACCAGTTGTTATTTGACACTCTGAATTGTGTGCGTGTTTTTCTCCAAGTTCTTTTTAACAAAGCTTACTGCTATCCTCTTCGTTTTAATCACATTTTTGTGTTTGAGTATGTTGGGATGTGGGGGTCGCGGGGGGGGGGGGGGGGTACCTTGCCATATATAGGGGGTGGGGGGAATAGGGGGTCACCTGAATAAGGCTGGAGACCAGTGGTTTAGCATTGCATGACCAAAACACTTGAAGGCTGGAAAAGGGTCCTAGATTTTTACTTGCTAGTGTTTTCAGAATGTTAGCCTCTTGAAAACCTGCCTATCGTCACTTTGGCTGTCCAAGAAATTGTAAGCATACAATGATTTTTTTTTTCTTTTTCTTCTTCGTGTTCACTGGCAGAAAGTTATGGTTGTTCGTCCACTTCTAGACTTTAGTCCTGTTCCAGAAACTGAGTGCTGCGTCTACATCCGTTTCACAATTCTGACTCATTTGCATGCAGACTGCTGGTTCCTTGCCTCTCAGACAGATGTACTCCAACTTTGAATGAAGGTCCCAATTAGTTGACTCTTGCGATATGCTTTTTAGGGTAGACAGTGGCTCTATTCCTGTTTTCCCCAGAATAGGACCCCGGAACCCACCCGGCGAATAAAATGATTGAATAACACAGTTGCCTGGAAGACAGAAGAGTGATAAAAACCACTTAACAAATGATACACAGCTCTAACTTTATGCAAGTCCTGGAACCTTTTCAAGGCAAACGACCTTAAACTCTGCCTAAAACCAGCGTCGCCCTCCCCCTCTGCGATATCTCATTACAATTCAGGCCTAGTGTACTTATTCCCACAAGAAATTCATCAAGCTGGTATAAATTTCTTTTTACTGCTGATGTACAAAATGACAAACCGGCAGTCGTGCGTGACGGACAACGTGTCCACAGGCCAGGTAAGCGGTTCACACGCCGTGTCAAATGGGTTGAAGTTGAATAAACACGAATAGTAACGTTACAACGTGTTATGAGCGGTGCGGTATATCCATAGCAAACCATAATTTTTACAAAAGACGACCATGCCTGAGATATACGAATGCATCAGTTTGAAAAAAAAAAATGTAAACACATTACCTCCTTCTTCTTCTGTTTCTTCTTGTTCTTGTTCTTCTTGTTCTTCTTGTTCTTGTTCTTCTTGTTCTTCTTGTTCTTGTTCTTGTTCTTCTTCTTCTTCTTCTTCTTCTTCTTCTTCTTCTTCTTCTTCTTCTTCTTCTTCTTCTTCTTCTTCTTCTTGGCGTTCACACGCTGTAAACTCCGGCGGAAAGTTGAGTTTTGTTCCAGAACCTCTGTGTTGTGTGCACATCTGTTGGTTCTTTGCTTCTCAAGCAGCGTACTCTGACCTCAAATTAGTTCACTCCTACGACATGCTTGCTGGGGGGGGGGGGGACAATTGGTCTATTCTTGCTCTCCCCACAATCGGGCCCTGGAAGCCATTAAATTAACTCTTTTCTTGTGCCAAACTTTATGTATACAATCTGGGTACCCTGATAGCAACAGCTTATGTTTAACTCGTTGTACCGTTTGCATAAAAATTGTACCATGTGTTAGCCACACCGTCAGACGCTAATAGTCAATAGATACAAGAGCTCGCGCCCAACGCGCATACCCATAAACATATGCGCGCGCGCACAGTCAATACACTTGAAAGAGCTGGAGTGGATTTACTTTCTAAATCTTTTTTTTTTTTTTCTCAGCCACGAGGAACGAACAGTCTGCATACGATTAAGCTAGATCTGTAAAACAAATGTGCACGCAGAACTCAAATTTTGGAATAAGAAAGAATTCCAGAGGTGAATGAATAACCAGAACCTTCCACCAAAGCGTTCAGCCAGTGAACGCAAAGAAGAAGAAGAAGAAGTAGTAGTAGTTGTAGTAGTAGTAGAAGGAGAAGAAAAAGAAGAAGAAGAAGAAGAAGAAGAAGAAGAAGAAGAAGAAGAAGAAGAAGAAGAAGAAGAAGAAGAAGAAGAAGAAGGAGAAGATCAAGAAGAAGAAGAAGAAGAAGAAAAAGAAGAAGAAGAAGAAGAAGAAGAAGAAGAAGAAGAAGAAGAAGAAGAAGAAGAAGAAGAAGAAGAAGAAGAAGAAGAAATACCGAAATCAATTTTAATAAACCGATTAAATACATCGTAGATTTATAAATAAAGAAACATGAGTGTGTGACGTCCAACCTTATCAGGGCCGGATTACGAGCGACAAACATCCGGTGACACAAAGTACCACCATTCGGATGAGAATCCACCGGAAACAAGTCCCAGAAACCCTGTTTAACCGTCAGATTATATTAGGGCTTTAAAATTTTTTTTTTATTTATTGCCTCTCATCATGTGGCAAATAGAAAAGAAACATGTACAGATATGAGAACACAGATAATTTCACAAACACATATGTGTAAATGACATAAATTAGGTCACGCCCCAGGGTATGCTGTATAACAATGGTTTTCAACCGTACTAATACCGCGAGCTTTTCACACAGTTCTAAATGTTGTGGCGACCCCCCCCCCTTCCCCCCCCCCTTTTTTTTCCCCCCTCTCCCCAAATTCTTTTCTCTCATAACTTCAATGAATATTTGTTTTGCGATGGTCTTTGGCGACCCATATGAAAGGAGAAAGGATCGTTACACCCACAGAAAAGAATCGCGACCCATAGGTTGGGAACCACTGCTGTATACGGTCAAGAAGATACAGTACTCACAGGTCACGAAGAGACGTCACTTCATCGGCAAGGCCCGCCAACTTAGCCTCCGCCACACCCTTGGTAGAGCTGAGCTCATCGATCACCTTACGGGCCTGAGCCAGCTCGTTCTCGTAGGCATCCCTGATGGGTTGCAGATCCTCAACCTTCCGGTTCCTCAGAGCTTCATTCTCAGCTTCCAACTTCTTCACCTGAGCGTCCAGGAAGTGTACCTTCTCGATGTAGCTGGCCAACCGTTCGTTGAGGTTCTGCATCTCCCGCTTCTCCTTCTCCCGGGTACCCTTGAAGTCGGTGATTCCGGAGCTGGACAGCTGTTGGTACACCCCGGGGGAGATGGAGCTGTGGACATTGTAGCCGCTGCTTCTGGTGGTGTAGGAAGAACTTCGGCCAGAGGGTGCTGAGCGAGTGATCACAAACGCCCGGGGTTGGATCTTGCTAGCGCGTCCGGCATCTTCGTCAGTTCGGGTCTTAGACATGGTTAGGTTTGACTAAAGTCCTAAAGAAACGAAAAAGACGCGAAGAGTAGAACATGTTACTGAGGTTACACAGGCGAGATTAAAAAAAAAAACACACAAATATGCAAGAAGCAAATACTGTGGTTCAGGAGGGGACAACTTTGATGGTTAGGTTTGACTCAAGTTCTAGAGAAACGAAAAACACATTAGGAACATACAATTTTATTGACGTCACACAAGCAGGAAACGAAGAACAAATTTGCAAGGTACAACTAGATCTTCATTTTCTCTATAATTATACATTTTAAATGAATTTCGACAAATGAAAGATGCAAGCAGATACAAACGGAGGAGTCCATTATATTTCATTGTAAAGCATGTATTCCCGTCTCTAAATAAATTTAGGTAGTTCTATTTTCAGCTAAGTATTATTGCTTTTCGTGTTTTGTTCGATGACAAAAACTTTGGTCGAACATTGGTTTTCTGTGCTTGTATTTTTTGTTTCGTGTGTTTCTTGCCCCAGACAGGTTAAATTGATTAGATGCGTGCTGGTGCTTACCACAGAGTGTATAATTAAAGGTGCCGGTACTCGGCACAAAGTGTATAATAAAGGTGCGGGTATTTCACCACAAAGTGTATAATTAAAAGTGCCGGTACTCAGCACAAAGTGTATAATTAAAGGTGCCGGTACTCAGCACAAAGTGTATAATTAAAGGTGCGGGTACTCAGCACAAAGTGTATAATTAAAGGTGCCGGTACTCGGCACACCGTGTATAATTAAAAGTGGCTGTACTGACCACAAAGTGTATATTACAGTAACGCTGAAATAAATCTGCATAAAACCGTGCCCGTACTGCGTACCGTTGCGTACCGGCAGATAACAGCCGTGTTGTTCGGTCATGTTAGCAGGTTTTGAGAAGGGGCAAGCTGGAGAACTTGGTGACAACTTGCGAGATGATGGAAAGAAAGGATCTAATGAGATTAACATCTTGATGGCCTGATCACAGTGAGCCGCTGTGATGTAGCGGCTGGAAGCTCGTCTGCGGATCGGAAGGTCGTGGGTTGGGTCTTTTTTTTTTAAACGACTTTGGCTCCCAGGGCCGCCAAGAATTTTCTGGACTGTCCTCCTCTGTCTCTCTTTCCACAGATCTTTCCAGTTGTCACAACATGTTCCACATAATATGACCAGAAATGAAGACTGTCTCTTTCTGTTAAATATTTCGAGCATCTCCATCTACAAGATCTAAAAGTTTGCATTGCATAAAACGTTGTTTGTTGCATATGCTTTACATGACGTTGCAGAACCAACCCAAGCTTTTTGTTTTTGGGGGGGTGTGGATTTTCTGGGCAAATTTACTTTCAGTAGTTTGGCAGTAGTTATATGAACGGTCGGCTCTCGATATCACTATCAAAACCAGCGAAAGGCGACCTGCTGCCAAATCGCCTGCAGCTGTCATCGAACCCGGCACCGCGGAAGCGCGTTGGCAACGCCTAAACCACAGCCGCTATGTAAAAACGAAAAGAAGAATAAATTGCACGTCCTGTGTGACATGTAACCGCCAAGTAATGTGGTTGATGAATTAGTACATACATGTGAAATGATAAACGATAAACGAATAGTTCTTTACCTGAAATTTGCAGCAAAACTTGTATCGACTGGAAGAACTGGCTGTAGAGAAATGTCTGGTAGCCTGTGCGGTGAGCCGGCCGGTAAAAACTGCAGGGAAAGTCGCCGGGTCGTTGCGAGAGAGAGCTGTTGGATGGTACACCTCGTGTGACTGTCGCCAACCGCGCTGGTTGGGTGACGGAGTGACTTAGCTGGTAGGCGGTGGGTGTCTGTCGTTGGTGAATAGCTACTGCATAACCGGGAGTCTGGTGTCTGTTGTTTAGGCGTTGCCAACGCGCTTCGTAAAGCTGAGGTACCAGGTTCGATCCCAGCTGCTGACGATGTGGCAGCAGACCGTCTTGCGTTGGTTTCGACAGTGTAATCGAAAGCCCACTGTTTAAGAAGCAATGGCAAACCACTGGAGGTAAAATTGCCTACTAAGAACACAAATAGCCAAAGAATGCTCGGGGTGGTTCAGCAAGGGAATTTCAAGGACAGGTAACTAAATTTAACTGGAAGTAGGCCGTGATAGCATGGTTACTGACTGTTCGGCTGCTAGTCAGAACGTTTTTGGTTCAAATCTGCTTGGAGGCGGAATGTTTCCCCTTCAAATGACTCCAAGGTCGACCGAGCCTGAAGTCGCACCAGGTAATATACTGGAAAGTAAAGGTGGCCGGTGTGATATTTACCGTATCAATCGTCAAGTACCAGGCGGTCTGTCAAAACAAGTGTTGCATCATTTGTCCGATGCGTCAATGGCATGAACACGTTCCTTTATGATTTTGAGTTGGTGAAGAGAAAAAGCTGGACTGCGTACCCCTGTCTGGACTGATGGACATGGGGGTGCAAGCCTGGAGTTGTGAGAAATGAACATTTCACTAAGGGGACAAGACGTTTCAGTAACCAACACAAAACAGACGTCATCAGTTGTTTTACACTTGTGGAGCTTTTGAGGAGGAGATCGTCCGGAGTGCTGTGATGATAATCCTTACTAATCACCAATCACTAAAAGGCTAGAGTTTTTCATGAGCCCACGGAGGACAGGTGTTGATATATTCTTTGGGAGGTTCTCCCCCCCCCCCCCCCCCGGTGACTGGCTGTGACGATTCAATGGAAGCGATTACTAATAAACTACAGACATTCATTAACTGGTGCCTGTGCAGAACAGAGGGAATTAAATGGTATGATAGAATCACTAATGTTAAGCTTTGGGAGAGAACTAAACAAGTTCCAGTGGACCAAGAGGTGAAGAAAAGACGCTGGCGTTGGATAGGACACACGTTGAGAAAAATCTGAAAACAATATAAGAAGAATGTCTTTACACTGGAACCCACAGGGACAGAGAAATAAAGCCCCCCCCCTCCCACTCCCCCGCCCCCTCCCCAATGGAAAGGGGAGCTAGAGAGTGAAGTTACAAAGCTGGGGAGGACATGGGGAGATCTGCATGCTCTGGCAAAGGATAGTACGACTTGGCGAGAGTTGGTAGAGGGCCAATGCCCCATTGACTTTAGACTTTAGAAAGGAAGAAGAAGAAGAAAAAAAGGAAGAAGAAGAAGAAGAAGAAGAATAAGAAGAATAAGAAGAAGAAAAAGAAGAAGAAGAAGAAGAAGAAGAAGAGGAGAAGAAGAAGAAGAAGAAAGAAGAGAAGAAGAAGAAGAAGAGAAGAAGAAGAAGAAGAAGAAGAAGAAGAAGAAAGAAGAAGAAGAAGAAGAAGAAGAAAGAAGAAGAAGAAAGAAGAAGAAGAAGAAGAAGAAGAAGAAGAAGAAGAAGAAGAAGAAAGAAGAAGAAGAAGAAGAAAGAAGAAGAAGAAGAAGAAGCAGAAGAAGAAGAAGAAGAAGAAGAAGAAGAAGAAGAAGAAGAAAGCAAGGGAAAAAGAAGAAGAAGAAAGAAAAGAAGAAGAAGAAGAAGAAGAAGAAGAAGAAGAAGAAGAAGAAGAAGAAGAAGAAAGAAGAAGAAGAAGAAGAAGAAGAAGAAGAAGAAGAAGAAGAAGAAGAAGAAGAAGAAGAAGAAGAAGAAGAAAGAAGAAGAAGAAGAAAAAAGAAGAAGAAGAAAGAAGAAGAAGAAGAAGAAGAAGAAGAAGAAGAAGAAGAAGAAGAAGAAGAAGAAGAAGAAGAAGAAGAAGAAGAAGAAGAAGAAGAAGAAGAAGAAGAAAGAAAGAAGAAAAGAAGAAGAAGAAGAAGAAGAAGAAGAAGAAGAAGAAGAAAGAAGAAGAAAAGAAAAGAAGAAGAAGAAGAAGAAGAAGAAGAAGAAGAAGAAGAAGAAGAAGAAGAAGAAGAAGAAGAAGAAGAAGAAGAAGAAGAAGAGAAGATTCGCTGTACAGACACCGTTTTTAGACATCATTTTCACCGCTACCTTGCTACCTTTCGGTAGCAGGGTGAGGGAAACAACTCGATTGATTTAATAGAAGCAGATTGATAAGACATGTAGACTCGTCTGATTTCTCTGTTTGTGGATGGAATAGATCCATTTTTTAAAGTCTTCCTGGCCAACTAGGTAAGCCGTGTACCTTGAGCTATGAGAATCGGAGTTTTTGTTTCGGTTCGCATGTGTAAGGGTTTTCAGATACTGGGGAATTTCATACTTTGTAAGACGCTTCGATGGTCAAAACAAAAATGTGTGGCAATTGTGTTGAAAAAAAAGGGGGGGGGGGCACGGAGGAGGCTTGGGGGGGGGGCGAATATCGATATTATAATAATGGCAAAGTGAAACACTATAGCTTTTAGCAAAAAACGCATTCGATACGACTAGTGGCATACACCATGAAAGGCCCGGAAGTAGCGGCCTGAAACATTAGCGCCTTAGTCTCGGAAAGGAAATTGAATAATCCTTGTAATCCACGTGTACACAGGCAGGGGTGCCAACATAACGAAAACTACTTCTTAAGGGGCCCATGTTAGTTGCTTGTGCTTTACAGTACATTGGAGAGCCAATCCCATAATAATTTTTTTTAGTTTTTGTTTTTTGCCTGATTTGTTTTTTTTTTTGGTAACAATTACCTTCAGTAGTTTGCCACTGCCACTGACGGGGTCGACTTTTGGTACCACTGTCGAAAGCAAATCAAAACAGCCTGCTGCCAAATCGCTTGCAGCTGGAATTGAACCCAGCTCCCTGAAACTACGAAGCGCAACACCAACTTTCTACAGATCATCATTGTTTTCTTAGGCCGGCGGGGGGGGGGGGGGGGGGGGTGTGGGCTGGGTAGTTGAGTATCCTTTACAGGAGGTTGTAGAACCAACCCTAGCATTTATTTTCTGTTGTGGTTTTTCTAGGCAAATTGTACGTTCAGTAGTTTGCCATTGCTTACTAAATAGTCAGCTCTCGGTACCACTGTCAAAGCTAGCGCAAGACAAATCGTCAGCAGTTTACATCGGAACCGGCATTACGAAACGCGTTCGCAACGCCTAAGCCCCAGGCG